ACTAGTTAAAACAGAGACGCTGAAGTACTAACCTCTATATCTGTGCATTGGAACTAGTTAAAACAGAGACGCTGAAGTACTAACCTCTATACCTGTGAATAGGAACTAGTTTAAAAACCGGGTCTTTTAAGAGTAAGAGTAGGGTTGGTCGTATTCCCCTCCAAGTGTTGTCGTATAAAATAGAACAGACCCAGGGAAGAGGCCATGTGAAGATGCATCCACAGGCCCAGGAATGCTGCCAACACCAGAAACCAGGGGAGAAGCAAGAGCAGTTGCTCTCAGAGAGCTCAGAAGGAATCCAGATGACCAATACCCTGGTTGGACTTCTAGCTTCCAAAACTGTGAGATAGTAAATAAATTTCTGTTCTTTTAAGTAACCCATTTTAAGGTGTTTTGTTATGGTGTCATTGTGGTTGTTAAGTGTTGTCAAGTTGGTTCCAACTTAAAGTGACCCTGTATCGGGTTTCTGAAGAACGGTTGGTAGGTTTGAACCACCAACCTTGTGGTTAGCAGCCTGTACTTATTCAACAGCGCCATGCCAGCATTCCTTTTTGTATGGCAGTCCCAGGAAATTAAAGACAGGTACTGCTGCTTCTAAAAGATGAAAATTAAAGGTTCCCCCACCCCCGTCTCCCATGATGGCAAAGTTAGAAACAGAAAGCATCTTTAAAAGGGGGCATTCTGATTGTCAGTTATTTGAGGAAATGAGTTGCGGGCAGTGTGGTGTTCTATCTTGTCCAGTAGAGGCCTCCCTTTGCCTCCTGAAGTCAAGTTGTTCGTGGAGTCACCTTCCAGGCAGGAGTAAAAGAACTCTGGGTGACCAGCCCACGAAGAGCACACACAGCCTGGAGGGCAGCAGGGTTCTGAGATGCCATTCAATGTTTACAGCAGATGTGTCCATACCAGTAACACATGGTTTATGCCAGGCACAAATGAGGGAGAGGGGACTATGTAGATGCTTGCCATCCTGGTGTGGCGCTGCAGGATAATGCGCTGAACCGTAAGATCATCGCTTCAAACCCACCAGCTGCTCCTCAGAATCCCTATACAGGGTCACTATGGGTTGGAACAGACTCAATGGCCCTTTACAACAACAACAACAATATATATAACCATTTTTCTTGTACTTGGGCTGAAGTCTCTCTGTAACTCATGCTAAAGGCATATATTGTAGTTCTGGAATGTGCAAATAAGAGAATTTGTAAAGAATGTGGGGTTGGCTTTATGACTTGCCAATAAGAAGTAAAGGAAAGGACAGTGTGCCAGTTCCAAGCCTAGGCCCTAAGAGTCCTTATGAGATTCCACTGTCTACTAGTGGGCTGAGATAAACACATGGCCAAAAGCTCAATTGCCCCAGCCAACATCCAGTAGAACCCCAGAGACCTGAAGCCCCTCTGAGTCACCTAACAGATCATGAGCAAGCCCTAGAGAGGCAAGACAGATCCAACAGATTGCAGAACTGCCTTGAAGACAGTTCTGTAGGTCAATGGTCAATAACAGACAGCTGCTGTTTGGTGAGGCTTATTTCACAGCAATAGTAAAACGACACATCATAAGGTGATTACTAGTGTGAAGTGCCTTGAGTCATTTCAGTCTGTAGAGGGTTTCCAAGATTGCAAATCTTTGTGAGAGCAGAAAGCTTCATTGATCACTGTCCCATGGAGTGGCTTCTGGGCTTGAACCACCAATATTGTGGTTCAAAGTCCAGTGCTTATCCTACAGAGCCACTGTGATCCCCAAAAAATGATTTTTACTGTTGTGAAGTGCCATTGAATTGTTCCGACTCATAGCGACTCTGCATAGGATTTTCAAGGAGCAGATGGTGAATTTGAACTTGCAACCTTCGTGGTTCAAATTGACCTTGTGGTCCAGTGCTTATTTCACAGTACCACGCCACTCCATTTTCAACATAGACCATATGAATCTCATATTCTTGTTTAAATAATTTGCTGATGCATAGTATTCATCTTAATAAAAATATCAGTTGTAGTGCTGTAGAATAAGCACTGGACTGCAAGGTTAGTGGTTCAAATCCACCAGGGGCTCCTCAGAAACCCTATACAGGGTCACTGTGAGTCCGAACTGACTCAAGGGCATTTAACAACAGCAATGCTGAAAATAATTACAAACCATTCTTGATGCTTATGGAAGTAGTATAAGGTGGCTGTTTTTTAACCTGCTAAAGGAGCTTCTCGGGAACCCTATACAGGATCTCTATGGGTCGGAATCGACTCCATGGTACTTAACAACAACAACAAAGGAGCCTTGTGTGGCACTGTGGGTTAATGTGCTGTACTGCAAAGTTGTTTGAACCACAAGGTCAGTGGTTCGAGCTTACCAGCACTCCCTGGAAACCTTATACAGGGTCACTTTGGGTTGGAACTGACTTATGGTACTTAACAACTACAAACAACAACAAAAGGAGCCCTGATAGCATAGTGGCTTTATGTTGGGCTGCTAACTTCAAGGTCAGCTGTTCGATCGAACCCACCAGCTACTATGTGGGAAAAAGATGCAGTTTTTCGTTCCCATAAAATTTACAGCATTGTAAACCTTATACATACCTGGTGTGGTGCCAAAGGATAAGCACTTGACTACAAGGTCGGTTTGAACCTCACACCCACACTATTAACCTATGATATTTGTATACGATATGTGCACCAGGACACAAAGTATTAACTTACAATCCTTCTGCGATGCACTCCAGTGAGAGGGTATTTCCTCGTAACTCCTCTTTGCTACTTGCATTCCCTTCTGGAGTTAAAAACATTGGTGGTCTCTCTCTACTTGATTTAGCTGCACAGAGGAAAATCAATATGCATTAAAAGTTATGACTTTCTACTTATGAGTATTTCTAGAAACACAGCTCACTGTCAAAACAGCTGTCTTAAATTTTAAGTCCCTTTCAAAGCCATTTAACATTGAGCGTGAAATTTGTTAAGCTACATATACACAGACTCTGCCTTGAAATTAGCCATCAGTCACTCAGTTAAGGGACAGAAGCAATTTTGGTTATTTGAGCACTGATTGTTAGGTTTTATTCCCTTTTGTATATTTCCTTAATTTGCATTAGCTTTTTGTGAATTTTCTATGGGCTGGAATACTTTCAAAGAGAGAAGAATTTCTGGTTATCTAACTACAAATCCCATAAGATTATGGCTCCAGTAAAAATAAAAATGAACTGTCTACCATCTGGAAGACGTTAAGTCTTTCAGGAAAGATGACTATGGAAAGAGTATATTTTGGTTTACACTGGGAATAATGATATAGCCTATTTTTTCCAGATTAATCATGAAAATGCAATATTTTTAAGTTAAGACAGCACACATTATAAGAATTTTTGGCCAACCATGCCCTACCAGAATGATTTCACTTAATTTCATTATTTCTGTGCATTATGTGTTATTTATGTGGGAGAGGTATTTGTGAAAAAATACAGTAAATTTGTGGAGGATACCTAACATATCAAGACTCTATATTCAGCATTTTATGGACAGCAAAACAAAACTAGATTGATCTAGCAAATTGTGTAGCATGAACTAAGATAATGGTAGAGTTAAATACAGTGAAATTAGTTTCCTCAATTAAAAAAGTGAAGAGGATTCCAAATATAAAGAAGCTATTTTGGAAGATTTAGACAAGCTACCCTGACTCGACGGCACTTAACAACAACAACAACATATTCCTTTTAATGGAGGCCTTTTCTATCTGTGCCTTATCTCCTGAAGGCCTTTGGAAAATTCTGAAGTAGAAAATGTACCATCTATAGTGCTATAGCCCTTTACAGTTTTCATAGCACTTTAATGAAGTATCTCTATTTGATGCGCACAGATAGTGAATAAAAAAGTAGTCTATGAATTATTCTATTTCTCATGGGAAAAAAAACAAAACAATGCCAGAGAATTTTACCTCAAAGACACTACAGTTTTCCTAAGATATTAGAGATTTGGAGGGAAGAAGCTTACCTCTCTGAAATAACTTTCGGAATTATTTTGAACTATGGTTTCCAGAAGCACATTAAAATAAAACAAGTCTATGCTGGTCAAGGAGGGAACTCTAATGCTTTTTACCTTATGTCTCAAGGATGAAAAATCAATACAGCACAGAATCTATCTTATAGATAATGAAGACAACCCAATATCCAGAACCTGTCTACATTGATAAACACTGCAGTTCAGAGTCATTTTTCACTTCAGGAAATCAAACTCTTCATTATTTACAAGAGTGAAATTAAATGCTATATATTGAAAAATAAGATGATCTCAAGATAATAACTTGGTTTTAATTAAAACTAAGAGTAGTAGTATTATTAATTATACTGATGATGCCATGTGAAAGCAGATAGGAAATGTGATGATTTACTGTGAAACTTAACATAATGTTAGTTGCTATAGGTTACTGAGAGTTTGATGAGTTAATCAGCTAGCAGGCTAATACACTCTGGAAATTTTTATTGATACCACAAGAAAATGTTAATGGAAAGGACAAAAAGAAAAAAGAAAAATATATTTCCAAATGTACATGAAAGATTTTTTTTTCAAATCGTGTGAAATGGTTCTTTATATGAAAACAGTTAAAAATCATCTTCATTCTTACACATACATACATCATGGAAGACGTTTTAGTGACATATGTTGGAAAGTTTATGACTATAATTTCATAAAGCACACATTTACACTAGTGGTACTAAACATGGAATTAGAAATTTCATCAAGTTAAAAAGCCATGGAGGTGATGTTAGTGAACTAAATGCTACAATGAGGGAGAGGATATCAGGTACAATCACTAGGACTCACCACCATAAAACTCAGTGTCACTCAAATTAGCAGCTATAGTGTCATTCAATTCATCCACTGAAATAAACAGAATATTATGAAGAATGTACAAAAGTAGGTGAAGAGGGTCAAAAAAGTAACTGTGTAACAAAAGCAAATGAATATAGCTATGCTGACAAAGAGCCAGCCCTACCAAATAAAAACAGTGCTTCCCTTACCTGACTCAGGCATTAATTCACTCAGTTACCCCCACCAGAAGCATATGACATACAACTTAGGCTACGAGACTGCCAAGGGTAAGGGATTGTGTGGCATAAAGCACACTCAAGATGCTCAGAACACCAAGTATGTTCTGAAGGTTAATACAGAAATAGTATTGGCAATACAAGATGAATATGCACAGCATAAAAATGTAAAATACAGTATTGAGGGTATGCCTGCTATTTCTAAGACACGTGCCAACACTTTAATGGTTATCCCCCAGATAGTTTCTGATCAATATTTAATCATAGTTAATATATTTTCCTCAGATTTGTAAACATCACTGAAAGAGAGCTTCAGGAAGCTACAACCTTACCTGAAATCACCTTCACAGAGATAGGTTGCTTCTGCTGTATGGTTTGAGTGTGATTGAACCTGGCATAACAGATATAGTCTTCGCGGGTGTCTTCTGGGAGGACATTGGAAAAGTAAAGGTCTCCATTTAGACCCTGGGAAACTCTCTCACTCTGTGGAAGTCTTTGAAAGGCTAGAGAAAGACAAAGTGATAATCTAAAATATTCCATCATAAAGTAACCCCTTTCCAAATTAGTGATATGGATGCATCTATATAAATATTTCTTTCTGTGAGCTTCCCTTGGATTACTCCTTTCTCTCTAAATCTCTTGGGATAAAAGCAACTAGCTATAAAAAAGAAGGCACCTGTAAACTCCAGCTATACCTGTTGATCCCGGTTTCTCAGGGAGTGGGCAGAGGTGAAATTAGCATTTTATGGTCAACTGTTTTATTAACCAAGTATAAAAAAACAACAAACAAACAAAACAAAACAATATATATACATATATGTCACATAATATATTCTTGTTGTTGTTGTCAGGTGCCATCGAGTCGGAACCGACTCATAGCGACTCCATGCACAGCAGAACGAAACAATGTTCGATCCTGGGCCAACCTCACCACC